AACTTCCTGAACAGTTTCCAAAAACCTTTCTCCCTTATGGTTTGACTCTAGCATTTCCCAATTTATATGCCTGAAATTAAAATCACCCATTATGACTTCAGCTGAAATCTTAATCTCATTGTAAATTTTCTCAATAATTTCATCAGTATCATTTGGTGGTCTGTAACAAATTTCCAATAAACACCATTTCCCTTTATATTAACTAATAGAAACTTAAATGGATTCAACTTCCTTGCTATTATCTTTGATATCCTCAACTTAAAGAGGATGTAACTCACATTTTACATAGAAAGCCACTCCCCCCCCTTTCTTTAATACTCTATCCCTATTAAATAGGCTGTAATCCTGTATTTCAAAGAAATTTCTGTAATCAAAATCATCTACATTTAACCATGTTTCAGTTATTCCCATCAAAATACTTCATTCCTACCAGTGCTCTAAAGTCATATATCTTATTTCTTATACTTATGCCTTACAATAGTAATGATTAACTTCATCCTTATAACTACTTCTATACTCAATTCCTATGCTAAACTTTTCTCTGTCTGTTATTCTTTTTCCATTTAGTTTTCCTGGCCAACACAGTAAAATAAAACTGTTATGAAAAATTTAAATGGCAAAGAAACACAATAGTAAACAGTAGTCTCCTGTGAAAAAACATGTATCAACAATGCTCTGCCAATCGAGAAAGTGAGGATTGAGCAGGAATAGCAGAGGGAGCTAGCTGCACCAGTATAGGTGGCACAATACTATTGGCAGAGAGTACTCACTTGATGTGTACATGTTCAGAAATGGTGCAACATTGATTGGGTATATACAATGGTGTACTGATTGCAAACATTTTTTTAGCAATGTTTAGAGGGCAGACAAACATCAAGATAACTTTGTAAGAGGTAAAACTGTATCAGAAATAACAGCCCATGTACATTATCTGAGGCTATTCATGCATATCTGAACATGAAAGAAACAAAATAATTCAAAATGAAAACTCAAAGTTGTGAAACTATATTGAAAATTATGTTACTTACAGGATTGAGAGAGAACTATAAAATGTAATGGAAACTAAAAATATGCTATGAAAGATACAAAACCTAATATATGAATAATTGTATGTTCAATGAGTTGTCAATAGCACTTCCTATAAGTATGCATTGACAAAATAAGGACTTTTCACAAACCATACATAAAACATAAGTAGCTCATGTTATTTGGTATGGACCTTATAATCTCTATATAATTACTACAACTAGAATATTGAACTGGAAATCAGAAACTGACACATTAATCACAAAAATGTGATAATGGAAGCATACACCATTTCTTATTTGATCAAAAACTGTAAAATATTATGACATATTTTGATTTCTAGTTCATATACAAACTTTGATGACTTTTTCCAGTATACGCAACTTACAAAGCACATCAAAGACATATTTATGTGCAAGCTTCTTTGAAGATTCCTTGGAATAGAAAAACAACATATAACATATCCATATATCCCTGCTTTTATGATACTTATAAATATACCACAATGCTTACAATAGTTGTCCTGTAATCATATTCATATATATCCAGATTTGTCATGCAACATGGCATGTGAAATATGTTAGTATTAATATAACATGCAGTTATGTAGCTTATAAATATCTGTAATTAGCATATATTATCATATGTGCAACTCAACCTAGAATATTGTATATTGTGGTATTAACCACTGTAGTCAAAGAAATTCATCTTTTGTTCTTTTTACTTCAACTTACCATCATACAAGGGTTAAATAACCATTACCGCATCACAGAATGCGAATCAAAACAAGACCTTGTGCTGATCAATTTTGATCTTGTATCACACTTACTGCTAACCAATAAAAGAGCCATGTAAGAAAAAGAATAAAATATTATCAGATATTATTTGTATAGCTTCACCTGTGGCACCTAAAACAATTACATGTCAGGACCATATCTGTCATCACACTTTAAGAGTCAAGTTATACAGGCTATCATGAATTAGATTATTCCATTGCCCCTTTCAAAGAACAGAAACTTCCTACAAACTGCCGACAGTGCACACATTTCCATTTTCACCAGGTCTTGTCCCACTGCACAAAACTTAAAGAGGGATGATATGATTACAATCGGCAAAATCACTGACATAGGACCTTGTGAATACCAAGTGGCATTCTGACATTGTAGCTCTAATCATGCTGGAGAAACAACACCTCAGCAAGGGGTCATAACTGATCCCCAAAACTGGACATTGTGCAGTAATGATCCTCAGTTTGTAACCAAAACTGTCTGCAAGATGTGTATGAGGCATGAAGATAAACTGAAATCAAACAGAAACTTCAATGATGTATTCATATAAAGAATTTCAGGAACTTCTTTAAAGAAGAATTGTATAGTTAAACACAAAAGGTCTGTTCAGCATTTTAGAGTGGAAAGAACTGATAAAGGGGCTATGGCACTTATAGATATATACAAAACTACTTCAGTTGGTAAGTTTATGATATCACAATAGAATCACGTGTTATTGAATTTTCAGTTTATGCTTTGTTTGTTATAAACACTCAAGTGAAATTTCCTAAAATATCACAAATTACAAACAAATAAAATCCAGAAAACTGGTTATAATTATTTATTAACCTCCAATGACAAAGCCTAGATTTAAAGGTTATAATTAACCTTCACTGACAAAGCTTAAATTTAAAACCAAAAAAGTTTATTTTTTAACTGCTTTTCTTTTCAACTAATGGCTAGAATCAATATGTAAGTATGTGTATCTTCACTTTACAAATGTTGGGTTCAACTTATGTAAATATTGATAATCCTAATAATTAATAATTGTATCTAAATCTTATATGAAAAGATTTGATTTTTTTCTGCAGGTGTTTACATGAAAAATGCTGAGACTATGGGACATGAGAAGGTGGGAAAGCTTATTCATATCACCTACTTCATGGCTAAGGAAGAGATAGCTTTCATACAATTTCCTAACATTGCTAAAATGGAAAAGAAGCATTAAATAGATGTTGGTGATACTTACCTGAACAATATTACCTGCAGGGAATTTATAAACTGTATAGGCCAGCATCTACTAAATAAATTATTTAGATTTGTGACAAACAGCAGATTTTTCTGCTTGCTAACAGATGGCAGTACTTATACTTGTGTTCATAAAAAGATTTTGTTTATATCATTTTCATTGGAAGCAATGGAAATTTAAATGTAAGCTTATCATTGTGAGATGTTTCTGACGGATCTGCTGAGGGTCTGAAAGCAATGACTTACAACAAATTTGAGTTAATGGACATCACTAATTTTGAATCGAAACTCATAGAACTAGGTTCAAATGATGGAAATATTAATCTTGGTGCCAAAAAAGGAATGAGAGATAGATGTTCCTTTTCTGGTGTCCATACATTGTTTTAATCATAGGCTGGAACTAGCTGTTCATGACACTTTTAAGAAAACCAAGATATCAGATGTCTATACTGATCTAATGGAAATCTATTATCTGTATCAGAATGGTCCAAAAAATTATGTGGATTTCATGAGCTTGGTACAATTATGGAAGAGCAGGTCATAAGGCTCAGAAAGACAAATAGAACCTGATAGGTTCAGCACAAAATGTTGGCATCCCAACATCTGCTCAAATGCTACTCACAAGAATATATAACTGTAAATGAAAACAACATAAAAGCTAAAGGAATCTTGACAAGGATTACAAAATTCTCACTTATAGTGTATTTACTTCTCCTGGAAATACTTCTGCATTAATTTTCAAGGTTTTCCATAGCATGGAAAAAATATGCCATTGAAATTTCACTAATCCAAAACTATTAGATAAAAAAAAAAACTTAAAAGCCAGCCATTGTCATTCATGTATTTATCAAGCTTTCTCTTAAACTCACTTCACAACATCTGAAGACAACTTACTAAATAATGTAAATCCTTTTCTTAACTCTCTCAACATGGGCTCAGTCAATCTGACCAACCATGTGAGCTCTTTGTGCTTGTTTAAGGTATTTGTAAATTTAATACTTCTAACTTTCAATATAGTGTATATCTTAACAAAATTTGGCAATCTTTCAGTTAATATTATAAGTCTTTCAAGCACAAAAAATCATATTGTTTAGAGAAGTATTTTTAATACAATAAAATCAAGATTTGCCCAAGAATATATTGAGTATTTGTTTTGAATGGTCTGTGTGCAAAGTAGTTTTCATGTTAAAATTAAAACAAACTTTTCCTTATTTAAAAAATCTCAAATTGCCTTTGTGTAATCCCTAAAACCTCCTAAGTGCATTTAAAATTTTTTTTCAGTAAAACTATATAGTTTATCTGTTAATTTCTCTACCCTATCTCAAAACAGAATCAGTTAATCCAACCGACCATGTAACCATCCAAAAAAAAAAAATTACCCTATTTTTGTTTCAAGAATGACTTCAAATTGTAACAAAACTACATTCATTTATCTTAAGTAGCTCTAAGTTTGTAACAGTATACGTCTATTTATAATTAAATTTTATTGTTTTATTGCCCTTTGAACTGTGTCTAACTACTATTCACACCATTATAAGTTGCAAATCACTCGGGGAATGTGCAGCTCACGTTATGCTTACGAATTTCATTATCCACGAGCTGCTCGTGTGCCTCATGAAACATTATTATTATAATAATATTATTATTATTTATTTTACCTAATCTAATCTTAACTGACCTAACAGGATCCGTATTCTTACATTTTAGTTACTTTTATAATTATACATAAAGAATAAACATGAAAAACAAGAAATAATATACTTAACCAATCTTCTTTTTCCTTGGTGTCGATTGTCCAAAAGAGTTTACCATAATTATTATATACTAATTATAATAATACACTTAATAATTTTTATTTAATTAAATAATGCACTAAACAATATAGATTAATAACATGCAAAAAGTAAACAAATTCCCTTACCTCTCCAAATATTTCTGGTTTACTAACTATGAGACAAGAGTCGTTAACTTCCTCATGGGAACGATGTTGATACTCTGAGTGAAATTGACATTTAAATGTTCTGAGCATAGCATTATACAACACATCAGTTGATAGATGAAAACCTCGACTTTCTGTTGGTTATAAGTAATATATAATTAAGCATAAGAGAGAACTAATAACAAATCCTGAAAGAGAAGATGTGACAGGTGGGGTTTGATTTTCTATTTCATAGCTCTGTAACCAAAAAAATTGAAGACTATAAACAATATGGCTTGTTGGAGCAATGACAATTTTATAGTGAGTAATTTATGTCTAATTTCATACTTTTCCAAGGGGTGGTGGATGAAATAGAGAAGACAAGATGCCTAGAGAAAATGTCACACGTGTCACACTATGGAAAATTCAGAATTTTTTAAATATTGCCTTGTAGAATTAAAAACTTAAAACTTGTATAGTATT